CACTTGGAGTTCCTAAGAAAGCTGTTATCCTTGTCTCTTTATATTTATACACAATGTTATCAAACTTTTAATTAATAAACAAAATGTTCACTTACAAAGATGTGAGTACAAAATACAACACAGTTATAGGACTTGAGACTTGCTAATACAGTACATGTTAGTTTAACATTTATATTATTACACGTTATACATGCACACAACACCTATGTGTGTTTCCTGCATGTGTGGCACCACACACACATATATATATATATATATATATATATATATATATATATATATATATATATATATATATATATAAAATTGTTGTTAAATATGACCGTATTGCTGGCGTTGTTGATGATATAGTGTAAGCATTCTATCTTCTATTTTCTTAGTACAGTATCAGTATTAAGAAGAACTATCAAGGTAGCGACATTCATGGTCAAAATGTGGGTGGAGATGACCTGTGTGGTGGTGATGATCGGGGGAGGCGGCTCCAGGTACTGGTGCCAGTCTGGGCATGAAGGCTATAGTCTTTATTCTGAAGAGTTAAGATGGGTGTGTTTTGCTGGCGATGAGTCACAATAACGTGGCTGAAGAATGTTGACCAGACCACACACTAGAAGGTGAAGGGACGACGACGTTTAGATCCGTCCTGGACCATTCTCAAGTCGATTGTCAATCGACTTGAGGATGGTTCAGGACGGACTGAAACGTCGTCACCCCTTCACCTAGTGGGTGTGTTTTATCTTACAAGTGTAGCTTCCAGGATTTGCACTCTCCTTTGGTCAGAGGTAGAGTCCAGGATTGTGGTATTATCTAGTAGCATGTTGCTAGTGAGTGTTGTGTTATGTTCACTTTATATATGGCTTGTAGGGGTTACCCGCTTGTAGACGGTAAGTCAATCTTTACAAAAGCTTTGTGGTCGTTATTGCATATAGGCAGATGGAAGGCGACATCCTTCACGCGGGGCATGTAAAGTGCCATACCACATTTGCTAGTTGGAGAGAGTTGTATTGTTTATTGGGCTGTTCTTAAGTATTCAATCTCCAGTCCTTTGTGTTTTGTAGTAAATAATGATTTCAAGTTTTTGGTCCAGATCTTTGATCCAGATAGTGGATTTGTTATTGTTTGGTGTTGTGGTTGATGTTCTGTGTTATACCCTTTGTGTAAATATCTTGTGATGTGTGTGTGGAGTTGTCTATGGTGCACCCCTTCTTTGTTAGTACTCGGAGGCTTCTGTCCTCTTGCTGCTGGATGTTATGGCCCTCACAACAATGAGTCGTGGTGGGCTAGGCTGGGTGGTGGTGGTGGTGGTGGTAGTGGTGGGCTAGGCTGGGTGGTGGTGGTGGTAGTGGTGGGCTAGGCTGGGTGGTGGTGGTGGGCTAGGATGGGTGGTAGTGGTGGTGGTGGGCTAGGCTGGGTGGTAGTGGTGGTGGTGGGCTAGGCTGGGTGGTAGTGGTAGTGGTGGGCTAGGCTGGGTGGTGGTGGGCTAGGCTGGGTGGTAGTGGTAGTGGTGGGCTAGGCTGGGTGGTGGTGGGCTAGGCTGGGTGGTAATGGTAGTGGTGGGCTAGGCTGGGTGGTGGTGGGCTAGGCTGGGTGGTAGTGGTGGGCTAGGCTGGGTGGTGGTGGGCTAGGCTGGGTGGGTATCAGTATAGCTGCCTATACCACACCAGTCTCAACTGCCTGGACACTGACAGTGACCATTCCTACACATAGTAATATTGGTGGCTTTAGTAAGAACTTGTATGGTCACAGTGTGGTCTCTGGTTCTCACGTACGGGGATGGGGTGTACACCAAGTACCTAGTTCTTGGGTAAACTTAACCACTCAACTTGGAGTACATCCTTTATGCCTATCAATTCCTTTCTATCATTTCAAGAACAAAACTTTGTAGAAAATAAATCACTCAATAATTAATTGATTCTATACCATCATCTTGGTTCTTACTCTTCTATATACTCATTTTAAGACAAGAGAAGCATAGCGAGTTACGCTGTAAGATCAACAGCGCCAGCAATGTGATCATATTTAACCAAATATCTTTATTTAAAGTAGATAAATATCAAAGCCTGCCTGTATTAAGCAGGCTTCCCTGCTTAATAAAGCAGGAAAGCCAGCTGCCCAGGTATACACTTGTATGTGGTGGTGGTGGCCTAGCCTGGATGGTGGTGGTGGGCTAGCCTGGATGGTGGTAGTGGGCTAGGCTGGGTGGTGGCAGCGGCGGGCTAGCCTGGGTGGTGAGGGTGGGCTAGGCCGCGTGGTGGTGGGCTAGGCCGCATGGTGGTAGGCTAGGTCGCGTGGTGGTAGGCTAGGTCGCGTGGTGGTAGGCTAGGTCGCGTGGTGGTAGGCTAGGTCGCGTGGTGGTGGGCTAGGCTGGGTGGTAGCAGCGGTGGGCTAGGCTGGGTGGTAGCAGCGGCGGGGGCGGGCTAGGCCGCATGATGGTGGTGGTGGTCGGGGAAGGCAGAGGCGGGGCCACCTGAACCAGCATCACCCACAGTCACCTGGAGGGACGTGAGGAGCGGAGACAGCACCTGCCCCAGCGGCCTGCACGCACGCACACACACACACAAACGGTTAGTACAAACAACACAAACATTATCAAAATATTAAACAATTTATACCAAGCTCTGTAAACCACACCAAATCTATTGTTAACACTACCGACAAGGGTGACCAGAGCCACAAGATGTTAATTAAGATGTTACATAAGATGTTACAGGCAGGAGACAGGTCTGGTGGTGAGGGTTAAGGGGGTGTTACCTCACAGGTGACAAAGGTGTGAGCAGGTGGCTGTGTACACCCCTACACTATGTACACACTCATTGTTGTATCACACCTCTGTAGTAACCATCATCCAGTACTGGTGTACTGCGTCACTGTCAACACTCCCCCCTCTCTCACAACAATCCCCCCTCTCTCTCACAACACTCCCCCCTCTCTCACAACAATCCCCCCTCTCTCTCACAACACTCCCCCCGCTCTCACAACAATCCCCCCTCTCTCTCACAACAATCCCCCCTCTCTCTCACAACACTCCCCCCTCTATCACAACAATCCCCCCTCTCTCTCACAACAATCCCCCCTCTCTCTCACAACACTCCCCCCTCTCTCACAACAATCCCCCCTCTCTCTCACAACAATCCCCCCTCTCCTCACAACACTCTCTCTCACAACAATCCCCCCTCTCTCTCACAACAATCCCCCCTCTCTCTCACAACAATCCCCCCTCTCTCTCACAACACTCCCCCCTCTCTCTCACAACAATCCCCCCTCTCTCTCACAACAATCCCCCCTCTCTCTCACAACAATCCCCCCTCTCTCTCACAACACTCCCCCCTCTCTCCCCCCTCTCTCTCACAACAATCCCCCCTCTCTCTCACAACAATCCCCCCTCTCTCCCCCCTCACAACAATCCCCCCTCTCTCTCACAACAATCCCCCCCTCTCTCTCACAACAATCCCCCCCTCTCTCTCACAACAATCCCCCCTCTCACAACAATCCCCCCTCTCTCACAACAATCCCCCTCTCTCTCACAACAATCCCCCCCTCTCTCTCACAACAATCCCCCCCTCTCTCTCACAACAATCCCCCTCTCTCTCACAACAATCCCCCCTCTCACAACAATCCCCCCTCTCTCTCACAACAATCCCCCCTCTCTCAACACACACCCCTCTCTCTCACAACACCCCCCCACTTTCTCACAACAATCCCCCCCCTCTCTCACAACAATCCCCCCTCTCTCTCACAACAATCCCCCCTCTCTCTCACAACAATCCCCCCTCTCTCTCACAACAATCCCCCTCTCTCTCACAACACTCCCCCCTCTCACAACACTCCCCCCTCTCTCACAACACTCCCCCCTCTCTCACAACACTCCCCCTCTCTCACAACACTCCCCCCTCTCTCACAACACTCCCCTCTCTCTCTCACAACACTCCCCTCTCTCTCTCACAACACTCCCCTCTCTCTCTCGCAACACTCCCCTCTCTCTCTCGCAACACTCCCCTCTCTCACAACACTCCCCCTCTCTCACAACACTCCCCTCTCTCTCTCACAACACTCCCCTCTCTCTCTCACAACACTCCCCTCTCTCACAACACTCCCCTCTCTCACAACACTCCCTCTCTCTCTCACAACACTCCCCCTCTCTCACAACACTCCCCTCTCTCTCTCACAACACTCCCCTCTCTCTCTCACAACACTCCCCTCTCTCTCTCACAACACTCCCCCCTCTCTCTCTCACAACACTCCCTCTCTCTCTCACAACACTCCCCTCTCTCACAACACTCCCCCCCCTCTCTCACAACACTCCCCTCTCTCTCTCACAACACTCCCCTCTCTCTCTCACACTCCCCTCTCTCTCTCACAACACTCCCCTCTCTCTCTCACAACACTCCCCTCTCTCTCTCTCACAACAACACTCCCCTCTCTCTCTCACAACACTCCCCTCTCTCTCTCACAACACTCCCCTCTCTCTCTCACAACACTCCCCTCTCTCTCTCACAACACTCTCTCTCTCACAACACTCCCCTCTCTCTCTCACAACACTCCCCTCTCTCTCTCACAACACTCCCCTCTCTCTCTCACAACACTCCCCTCTCTCTGTGACAAGACCTGCTCTAATAAAGTGGATGGGTGACACTTGGCAAGTAGCGTGTGTGTGTGGGGTTAGTGGGGTTAAGGGGGTGGTGTTAGATGGTGTATATGTGTGGGGTTAAGAGGGTGGTGTTAGATGGTGTGTGTGTGTGTGGGGGTGGTGGGGGGGGGGTGGGGGTGTTAAGGGGGTGGTGTTAGATGGTGGTGGTGTGGGGGGTTAAGGGGGTGGTGTTAGATGGTGTATATGTGTGGGGTTAAGAGTGTGGTGTTAATGGGGGGGGGGGGGGGGGGGGTGGTGTTAGATGGGTGTGTGTGTGTGTGGGGTTAAGGGGGGGGGTGGTGGTGTTAGATGGTGTGTGTGTGTGTGGGGGGTTAAGGGGGTTAAAGGGTTGGTGTTAGAGGGTTGGGTGACTCACGTGTTGAGGAGAGCGTCTGGGAGCTGGAGGATGGGCTTGGGCACACCTCGGCCACACAGGAACTGACACACCTCCTCGCTGAAGTTGTTGCAGTTGTGCTTGAGCAGGTCATACGCCCCGGGCCTGAAGCATCGTCCCTCATTATTACTAGTACTGCTCTTACTACTAGTACTAGTACTGCTCTTACTACTACTGCTAGTACTAGTACTAGTACTGCTCTTACTACTACTGCTAGTACTAGTACTGCTCTTACTACTACTGCTAGTACTAGTACTGCTCTTACTACTACTAGTACTACTGCTCTTAATACTACTGCTCTTACTAGTACTGCTCTTACTAGTACTACTACTGCTCTTACTATTACTACTAGTACTGCTCTTACTACTAGTACTGCTCTTACTAGTACTGCTCTTACTACTACTGCTACTCTTACTACTACTAGTACTGCTCTTACTACTACTAGTACTGCTCTTACTACTACTAGTACTGCTCTTACTAGTACTAGTACAGCTCTTACTAGTACTAGTACTGCTCTTACTAGTACTAGTACTGCTCTTACTAGTACTAGTACTGCTCTTACTAGTACTCTTACTACTACTAGTACTGCTCTTACTAGTACTCTTACTACTACTAGTACTGCTCTTACTACTAGTACTGCTCTTACTAGTACTAGTACTGCTCTTACTAGTACTAGTACTGCTCTTACTAGTACTCTTACTACTACTAGTACTGCTCTTACTAGTACTAGTACTGCTCTTACTAGTACTAGTACTGCTCTTACTAGTACTCTTACTACTACTAGTACTGCTCTTACTACTACTAGTACTGCTCTTACTAGTACTGCTACTCTTACTACTAGTACTGCTCTTACTAGTACTGCTCTTACTACTACTAGTAGTACTGCTCTTACTAGTACTGCTCTTACTAGTATTGCTCTTACTATTACTGCTCTTACTAGTACTGCTCTTACTAGTACTAATACTGCTCTTACTACTACTAGTACTGCTCTTACTACTACTAGTACTGCTCTTACTACTACTAGTACTGCTCTTACTAGTACTAGTACTGCTCTTACTAGTACTAGTACTGCTCTTACTACTACTAGTACTGCTCTTACTACTACTAGTACTGCTCTTACTACTACTAGTACTGCTCTTACTAGTACTAGTACTGCTCTTACTAGTACTAGTACTGCTCTTACTAGTACTAGTACTGCTCTTACTACTACTAGTACTGCTCTTACTAGTACTAGTACTGCTCTTACTAGTACTAGTACTGCTCTTACTACTACTAGTACTGCTCTTACTACTACTAGTACTGCTCTTACTAGTACTAGTACTGCTCTTACTAGTACTAGTACTGCTCTTACTAGTACTAGTACTGCTCTTACTACTACTGGTACTGCTAGGGTTAGGTAGTGAGGCAGGGGCGGGGGGGGGCAGGTAGTGAGGCTAGGGGGGGGCCAGGTAGTGAGGCTAGGGGGGAGCCAGGTAGTGAGGCTAGGGTGGGGGGGCCAGGTAGTGAGGCTAGGGTGAGGGGCCAGGTAGTGAGGCTAGGGGGGAGCCAGGTAGTGAGGCTAGGGGGGGCCAGGTAGTGAGGCTAGGGGGGGGCCAGGTAGTGAGGCTAGGGGGGGGGGACACTCACCTGTAGGTACCTTCACCAAGGCCGAAGATATACTCGAGGAAGAGTTGGTACGGCACCTGTGAGAGCCCCAGTTCCTCCACGCGGTCTGGCTCTCCCAGGATGGTCCCTCCCTGTAACAACACACTCACATTATACTCTCACACTCCACCCAGGTGCACTCTCCCTCCCGCCACATGCACTCTCCCTCCCGCCACATGCACTCTCCCTCCCGCCACATGCACTCTCCCTCCCGCCACATGCACTCTCCCTCCCGCCAGATGCACTCTCCCTCCCGCCAGATGCACTCTCCCTCCCGCCAGATGCACTCTCCCTCCCGCCACATGCACTCTCCCTCCCGCCACATGCACTCTCCCTCCCGCCACATGCACTCTCCCTCCCGCCAGATGCACTCTCCCTCCCGCCACATGCACTCTCCCTCCCGCCACATGCACTCTCCCTCCCGCCACATGCACTCTCCCTCCCGCCACATGCACTCTCCCTCCCGCCACATGCACTCTCCCTCCGGCTAGATGCACTCTCCCTCCCGCCACATGCACTCTCCCTCCCGCCACATGCACTCTCCCTCCCGCCACATGCACTCTCCCTCCCGCCACATGCACTCTCCCTCCCGCCACATGCACTCTCCCTCCCGCCAAAGATAAACAATATTTACAACGGTAAGTACGAAAAGAAGGCACCAAGCCAGGGAGAACATGTCGCAGGATAATCACAAGGCGCTAAATATCGCTAAGGACGCCGGTACCAGAACACCCCCAGCAGCTGGACCACAGCAGGGAGCACCACCAGCAGCTGGACCACAGCAGGGAGCACCACCAGCAGCTGGACCACAGCAGGGAGCACCACCACCAGCAGCTGGACCACAGCAGGGAGCACCACCAGCAGCTGGACCACAGCAGGGAGCACCACCAGCAGCTGGACCACAGCAGGGAGCACCACCACCAGCAGCTGGACCACAGCAGGGAGCACCACCCCCACCAGCTGGACCACAGCAGGGAGCACCACCCCCACCAGCTGGACCACAGCAGGGAGCACCACCACCAGCAGCTGGACCACAGCAGGGAGCACCACCACCAGCAGCTGGACCACAGCAGGGAGCACCACCAGCAGCTGGACCACAGCAGGGAGCACCACCAGCAGCTGGACCACAGCAGGGAGCCACACCCCCACCAGCTGGACCACAGCAGGGAGCACCACCCCCAGCAGCTGGACCACAGCAGGGAGCACCACCACCAGCAGCTGGACCACAGCAGGGAGCACCACCACCAGCAGCTGGACCACAGCAGGGAGCACCACCCCCAGCAGCTGGACCACAGCAGGGAGCACCACCCCCAGCAGGGAGCACCACCCCCACCAGCTGGACCACAGCAGGGAGCACCACCACCACCAGCTGGAAAACAGCAGGGAGCACCACCAGCAGCTGGACCACAGCAGGGAGCACCACCCCCACCAGCTGGACCACAGCAGGGAGCACCACCACCAGCAGCTGGACCACAGCAGGGAGCACCACCAGCAGCTGGACCACAGCAGGGAGCACCACCAGCAGCTGGACCACAGCAGGGAGCACCACCACCACCAGCTGGACCACAGCAGGGAGCACCACCCCCACCAGCTGGACCACAGCAGGGAGCACCACCCCCAGCAGCTGGACCACAGCAGGGAGCACCACCACCAGCAGCTGGACCACAGCAGGGAGCACCACCCCCAGCAGCTGGACCACAGCAGGGAGCACCACCCCCAGCAGCTGGACCACAGCAGGGAGCACCACCCCCACCAGCTGGACCACAGCAGGGAGCACCACCCCCAGCAGCTGGACCACAGCAGGGAGCACCACCCCCAGCAGCTGGACCACAGCAGGGAGCACCACCCCCACCAGCTGGACCACAGCAGGGAGCACCACCACCACCAGCTGGACCACAGCAGGGAGCACCACCCCCACCAGCTGGACCACAGCAGGGAGCACCACCCCCACCAGCTGGACCACAGCAGGGAGCACCACCACCACCAGCTGGACCACAGCAGGGAGCAACACCCCCAGCAGCTGGACCACAGCAGGGAGCAACACCCCCAGCAGCTGGACCACAGCAGGGAGCCACACCCCCCGCAGCTGGACCACAGCAGGGAGCACCCCCAGCAGCTGGACCACAGCAGGGAGCAACACCCCCAGCAGCTGGACCACAGCAGGGAGCACCACCACCAGCAGCTGGACCACAGCAGGGAGCACCACCAGCAGCTGGACCACAGCAGGGAGCAACACCCCCAGCAGCTGGACCACAGCAGGGAGCACCACCCCCAGCAGCTGGACCACAGCAGGGAGCACCACCAGCAGCTGGACCACAGCAGGGAGCACCACCACCAGCACCTGGACCACAGCAGGGAGCACCACCAGCAGCTGGACCACAGCAGGGAGCTCCACCAGCAGCTGGACCACAGCAGGGAGCACCACCAGCAGCTGGACCACAGCAGGGAGCACCACCAGCAGCTGGACCACAGCAGGGAGCACCACCAGCAGCAGCTGGACCACAGCAGGGAGCACCACCACCAGCAGCTGGACCACAGCAGGGAGCCACACCCCCAGCAGCTGGACCACAGCAGAGAGCAACAACACCAGCAGCAGCTGGACCACAGCAGGGAGCTCCACCAGCAGCTGGACCACAGCAGGGAGAAACACCACCAGCAGCTGGACCACAGCAGGGAGCAGCACCACCAGCAGCTGGACCACAGCAGGGAGCAACAACACCAGCAGCTGGACCACAGCAGGGAGCACCACCAGCAGCTGGACCACAGCAGGGAGCTCCACCAGCAGCTGGACCACAGCAGGGAGCACCACCACCACCCAAGCAGCTGGACCACAGCAGGGAGCTCCACCAGCAGCTGGACCACAGCAGGGAGCAACAACACCAGCAGCTGGACCACAGCAGGGAGCACCACCACCAGCAGCTGGACCACAGCAGGGAGCCACACCCCCACCAGCTGGACCACAGCAGGGAGCTCCACCAGCAGCTGGACCACAGCAGGGAGCACCACCAGCAGCTGGACCACAGCAGGGAGCTCCACCAGCAGCTGGACCACAGCAGGGAGCTCCACCAGCAGCTGGACCACAGCAGGGAGCACCACCAGCAGCTGGACCACAGCAGGGAGCACCACCAGCAGCAGCTGGACCACAGCAGGGAGCACCACCACCAGCAGCTGGACCACAGCAGGGAGCCACACCCCCACCAGCTGGACCACAGCAGGGAGCTCCACCAGCAGCTGGACCACAGCAGGGAGCAACACCACCAGCAGCTGGACCACAGCAGGGAGCTCCACCAGCAGCTGGACCACAGCAGGGAGCTCCACCAGCAGCTGGACCACAGCAGGGAGCACCACCAGCAGCTGGACCACAGCAGGGAGCACCACCAGCAGCAGCTGGACCACAGCAGGGAGCACCACCACCAGCAGCTGGACCACAGCAGGGAGCCACACCCCCAGCAGCTGGACCACAGCAGGGAGCACCACCAGCAGCTGGACCACAGCAGGGAGCACCACCCCCAGCAGCTGGACCACAGCAGGGAGCTCCACCAGCAGCTGGACCACAGCAGGGAGCAACAACACCAGCAGCTGGACCACAGCAGGGAGCTCCACCAGCAGCTGGACCACAGCAGGGAGCTCCACCAGCAGCTGGACCACAGCAGGGAGCACCACCAGCAGCAGCTGGACCACAGCAGGGAGCACCACCACCAGCAGCTGGACCACAGCAGGGAGCCACACCCCCAGCAGCTGGACCACAGCAGGGAGCTCCACCAGCAGCTGGACCACAGCAGGGAGCAACAACACCAGCAGCTGGACCACAGCAGGGAGCTCCACCAGCAGCTGGACCACAGCAGGGAGCTCCACCAGCAGCTGGACCACAGCAGGGAGCACCACCAGCAGCAGCTGGACCACAGCAGGGAGCACCACCACCAGCAGCTGGACCACAGCAGGGTGTAACACGGGTTTGGGTCCCTCTCTCTTTACTTCCTTCTTTCTACTCCCTCTACCCGTATTCTTACTTTTATTTCTAAACCAAGGGACTCCAAAACTTTTACCAAAGCCAACTCCACGCCACGTGGTCCTAGGACGATTGACCGACTTAGGATTCTACACCCAGTATGACGTGACCTAAGCTCTGAACAAAACCCTAGAGTCACCTCTGCTGCCACCACCAGACCAGTAATACAAGAGCAATGATCGAGGTCTGGATCGATCACGCTAATTAATCAACCTAGGGGCTTGATCCCCACTATAAACGATGACCTTGAGTGTGGAATAAATTACACGGTAATGATAATTCCGATTCGATGTTAGAATCGGCGCCCAATGCAACTCTGCCTCGTGTGGACCACGTGACCAGGACAAGTATACACATAAAACACATGGAAACAATAAAATGCAAATTAATAACAAATTTAATTTATTAAACGAAAACTAAAACAAAATCTAAATATGTTCACTCCCTATCAATTTAACACTCCCTACTTGACCTGAGTGGCAAATGAGACTATTTCTATACTTAACAATAGCAACTATACCTTGGGCGACCACAGTTCTAGGTGTTGGGCCTGTTCTTGGGGAGAGGTAAGATGTTTGACCTCTCCTAGCTGCTTCCGTGACCACACTGATTTTTTCCTTGTCTGGACTACCCCAGACAGAGTATTGTATTGTTCCGCATCGCTTACCCAGTTACTTTAGCAAGGTTAAGTTATAACAATTATCCTCTGTTTATACTGAATTGATCCAGACTGGTTGAATTATTTTACTGAATTAAATTACAAACATCTAACGGCAGAGCTGTTCCCGATCACAAAAATGGTTATTAAAACTTGTAGAAATATTAGACATGTCAACCCTGCTGACCATCACAAAAATGGTTATTAAAACTTGTAGAAATATTAGACATGTCAACCCTGCTGACAAGCAAGATCGACACCGTCATCGTCAGCGACTACATTCAGCATCCAGCAGCATCGATTTTTTTTTTCTCGTTTACTCAATATGAACAATTGATACAAAACAACAAAGTTGGCTCTGAACATCTGTGTAAAGAACATCTGGACACTTTTGTTTAAATGTTGAAAAACAGATTTAAAATAAT